CTAACCAGCTGAAGAAGATTCTTTTAAACTAAAAACGTAACATTTATGCGATCGTTTAGTGTAAACGTATAGGCACGGAAGATAATTATAGTAAGTTGAAAGAGTCAGGTATACTGGTTATTAGTATAGCAACAGACCTGATATCTAGAAGGAAGCAGAAGCTCACTGAGTAAAGGGCAAAAGTACTTAGAACATCACTAGGATCCCTCTCTAGAACTGAAAACGTTTACGATTCTTAGGCAATATAGCAACAATTTGAAGTATAATATTTCAAAGAAAATTACTCCTAAGCCCGTAAAACGCAAGCGACAAGCTAATCGAAACTGAAAGAAAGCTGAGCAACAACTAGGAGTTAAATACAGTGCTTCTCTGATGTGTGATTTTGTTTAATGAGTCACAATAAATTTTATTGATAATAAAATTAAGGTCTTAATTTAATTATTCCCCTTTTTCACTCAAACTGAGCAAATGAGCAGTTGAGAAGAAGTGAACAAGTTTATAATTATTCAAAATGACAGAACAAATTGAGTTAAAATATCGACGATTGATGAATGGTAGAACATCACTAGAAAATGAGCTTTCCGTAGTTCACAATCGCGTAACTGAGAGTTTAGAGGGAACAAACAGGAAAACAAAAATAAACGCCCTAATTGAATCTTGCAAGACTATTCTCGAAAAAGCATTAGCTAAGAATGATGAACTTGTGATACTAGCTAATAAAACCGATAAACCTAACAAATTATTAACAGAATTGGCTGCATGGTGGGATAGGATAGTTAAAGTAACTGGTAAAGGCTCGCGCTCACATGGAATCTAATCGGGCTTCAGAGGCCTGCGTCAGTGAAACTAGTCAATCAAAAGTTTCATCGAAATCAGAAAGATCCGGGTCGAGTAAGCAAAGCTCAATGAAATCATTGACCCCCAGTGAGCGCCGCAAAGAACTGCTCCTAGCGAGGATGAAGCGAGAAGAGTTGGAAAAACAACATGAAGCAACCTTAAGACTGAAACAACAGCATCAGATTGAGATCGAACGAAAACAACAAAAAATTAAATTTGAAATTGACCGTAAATAGCAAGAATATCGTTTACGAATCGAAAAAAGTTGGCTTGAAATGGAACGATTAAGCGAAGAAAATCGTATTAAAGTGAATCGAAGCTAAAATGGTTGAAACTGAATGCCTCGAGGAGGCCGAAGTAGATCAGCATCTCGAGCTGGCGTCATCGGTTGATCGTCGTTCTGACAGGGTAAAGGATTGGGTTGATCACGCATTAGAAAACCAGAAAGGACCCGAGTTTAGTTCCGTCTTATTCGAAGTTTGCAACCTGTGTATATAGAAAGTGGTTCGCATCAACACAGAAATGTGTCCACAGCGGGAGCTTCACCTCGGCCATCGTCGCCGAATCAGACTCTTGATTGTGATCAACAGTGTTATCCATATCAACCAACCGTCTCCTTCAGCGATGGCAATGCAATCAAGCATGCTGGATCCACTAATCATGAGCACGAATCGCAGTCGATGCCTATTTCAAATAACGCTGCACTTTGCGAAAACAGTACATCGTCAATTTTTAATCCAGCCGGTATGATGTTACTTCTCTGTACCCCATCCTTCGTCTTCCATTCAACATATACCCGTCAACAATTCAAATAGCGATTCTCGTGTTGTTGGAAACTTTCCTGCCATCTCCAATCAATACTTTGGATACACTTCCCAAGCCATTTTGTCACAAACACCTGCAAAATTTATCTGCAGAAATCAAAACTTGCTATCACATAACGTGTATAGCAACCTTGCGTCAGTGAACCATCCGTTTAGCGGACAATCTGCCGTTATTAGTCAGCCCAATGTGCCACTAATGTGGACACCAGCAGTGGACACCAGCGGGCACCAGCAGTTTCAATGTGCCATTGGGGTAACAAATGATGGTAACGCGAACCCATCAGTTGGTGTTTTTTCATCCGTAACGCCAATATCTCAACAACAATTCCCGCACGTATCAAGAGGTGGTACCGTTTATTATGGGTTTTCCAATCACGACGCATCAGCTGAAAACACTTACATATATCAGCAGCAACCTTTTGCAGCTTATCCTAGCAACACATTGCCGTCGCTGCAACCAGTTCCTCAACCGCAAACCGTGACACTAAATGACTTAGTCCAAGCTTTGTCAGTTGCAAAGAAAGATCCCCTTCCTGAATGGAAGCTGGCCCAGTACGACGGTAACCCGCTCCAATGGCACGAATGGTTTGGCCAGTTTTGCAGACCTGTAGAAGCAGCGTCCTTAAAAGATGATGTGAAATTATTTTATTTAAAAACACGAGTCACTGGAAAAGCTAAGTCAGCCATAGCAGAGTTCGCATACAGTGGAAAAATATATAAGGGTGCTCTGAAAACTCTAGAAAGAAAGTTTGGCCAGCCACAAAACGTAATTACGGCCCACCTTGATAAGTTGTCCAGCTTCCCGCAACTTTGAATGCACAACTCTGAGAACATCATCAGCTTCTCGATGACCATTTCAAGCCTAGTGGCTGTTTCTAGGTCTCACGACTATGAAGAAGATTTCAAAAGCATATCGCTGTTAAATCAAGCTCTTTCGAAAATTCCACCAAACATGAAAGAAGCGTGGTCGCTTTTTGTCGTGAAATGTAATTGGTCACGCTCGAACTTATTTGAGTTTAACAATTGGTTGAGAGTTAAAACAAAAGCTCATGAGCAAATGAAAAACATGCCTGGAAAGCCCAAAGTCGAAGAACTATCCAAAACTAAAGCACTAACAAGAGTTTTTGCCTCGACAAGTATAGTTAGGAAAAATTTTGAATATACTTCTTGTATCCTGTGCAAGGGGAAACATGCCTTGTGGAAGTGCTCTGTGTTTAAGTAGACACCCCCAACACAGCGTGCGAAAAGCTCTGCGGAAAACAAAATGTGCTTCTCCTGCTTACAACGGAACCACGCTTTCCGGCAATGTCCCAGAGCAAAGAAATGCACCAAACCAGGTTGCACTAGCACCCATAGTGTACTTCTCCATGGTGCTGAACGTATTTATCCTAGTCGAAATACCGACAAAAATGATAACCAAACAAGACCCAACGCTGGTCAAACAAGAACTAATGCAGAGCCGGATAAAGCGAGCACAAACGCTGATAGAAAATCATTCAGTTAGAATATAAAAAAAGCAAGTTCGTATCATGCAGACACTAATCCCGTTCCATTGGATGTAAGTTGCGCAATCTCGAACGACCAATTATCAATCATAACATCGAAAGGGTTACTGCCCATAATCAAACTCCAGGTTTCCACCAGAGTGCTGATTGTTTAACATTGTGTGACTCAGCATCTAGTCAATCCTCGATATCGGCTAAATTATTCAAATGTCTAAATCTCACAGTAAACGGTATTAACACAACGAAACAAGTTAAAACGGAACAAGATCAGATGAAGGTAACTTCGATTAATTCGAATACATATTCGAATTAAACTCATTTATCAAAGATGAACTTAAAGTGGGTACCGATACCGTCAACATCCCTGCATTACAGTTCAAATATCCGTACCTTGCTCCTATCAAACCAACTGTGTATAGCTACGCCGATGTAGACTTAATAACTGGTCAGGATTCTTCCATGCAATTCGGCCTGAGGAGTATTTCAAGATTGAGGCTGATCCAAACACTTCAACCGTCGCGGTTCGCTTTCCGATAGGCTGGGTCTTGAGCGGCCCAATGCCGACATCTACTGGTTTCCTTTCCACAGGTGCAATACGGATGATATCGAACTAGCTTGTCAAATCAAACGCTGGTATGAAATAGAGTCGTAGGAGCATACAAACAGATTGACTCCCGTTCAGCCGCGGACAAAAGATCGGCTAAAATACTTGATTCCTCCACCGTTCATGATGAATCAAGATACGCTTTAGGTATGCTTTGGGCAGAAGAATCTATCATGTTACCAGACAATTACTATTCGTCTTTCGTTCAGTTAAAATTGTTGGAGAAACGTTTAGCGAAAGATCCTCACTTGAGGAATCAATACTCAAAAAGTATCGAAGATAATTTGAGTGAAGGATATGCGATATAAGTTCCTCCCATAATTTTTCAAACCGCAGCATACGCGAGTGGTATCTTCCTCACCATCCCGTGGTGAACCCAAACAAACCTGATAAAGTGAGGCGTGTCCTTAACGGAGCATCTAAATTCCACGGTACGTCATTGAACAAATCGTTGCTAGTAGGGCCCGACCTACTGCAAAACCTTGTGTTTGTTCTCCTCCGTATTTGTCAACATCATTTTGCCGTAACGGCTGACATTGAAGGGATGTTTCTACAAGTCGGCGTCCTTCCAGAGGACCAACCTTCCCTTCGTTTTCTGTGGCGGGAGGATCCGACAGCCGATGTGGTTGTACACCAGTACACCAGACATATCTTTGAAGCGAGAGTTTTGCTTACGTGTGCAAATTATGCATTGCAACGGACTGCAATGGATAACCAGGCAATGTTCCCTGACGCAACGTCCGCAGTTCTAGAGAAATTTTATATGGACGACTACCTAAACTCCTTTGAGGACCCCGATGTTGCATTTAAATTGAGTCAAGAGTTGATTACTCTGTTAGCTCTAGGTGGTTTTAAATTAACTAAGTTCATAAGTAACGTAACTAAAATTAATAAAGAGTTAAACCCGCCCCAAAGCGCGCTGCAACAAGAAAGTAAAAATTTTGTAACTTGTGGTGATAATTCGTTCCATGTTCTTGGTCTGAAGTGGGACCATATCGACGACACTTTGTCAACCGTGAACTTGAAAACTCGATAACACAGCGAACAGTGTTAAGTATCGTATCTTCCGTTTTTGACCCCATAGGTCTCGTAGTGCCCTACAACGTAGGAGCGCGGTTATTGTTGAAAGAAATCTGGCGCATTCAAGGCCAACAAAGGTATGATGAGCTACCCGTTGATAACAAGACAAAATTTCTTGCCTGGCACTCTGGCTTGCCATCTTTAGGAAAAATGACTAAAAAGCGCAGCTACTTCTCCGCACCAGTTGATTGGGTTGAGTTACACATGTTCGCTGACAGCTCAGAAGAAGTTTTTTGTGCTGTAGCTTATCTTCGCGCCCGTGTGAAAACTTCACTCGAAACACAAGTTGCCTTCGTCTTTGGAAAAGCAAGAGTCGCGCCCATGAAAGCGCTTTCTATCCCGAAGCTTGAACTGCCGGCCGCGTTACTCCCTACCCGCTTGAAGGAAGATATCCTCAAAGCTCTAACCATTCCTGTGTCAAACACGTTCATGTGGACTGACAGGACCACTGTACTTCATTGGTTAAACTCAGGCAGTAAGCAACCCACGTTCGTGGCAAACCGGATTGGAGAGATTTTGGAAAGTACGACCGTAGACCAGTGGTTTCACGTCTTAAGTGGAGACAACCCTGCTGATACGGGAACCAGAGGATTCACAGTCCTTAAAACAAGCAGCTGGGTGAACGGGCCAAGTCTGCTGAAAAACGGCGAGGGGCATTTCAAGCCGAGCGTAGAAGTACTTACAAAAATCCGCCTAGCTGGTCCCGCTTGTGACCTTAATGAAGGTTAAGAGCAAGCCTCTAATTTTTTCAAACGTTGCATAAAAAACCACTTTATTTGTATGGGAAGAAACTAGCTCGTGTTGTAAACTCCAGCGAGTGGTTACCTTCATGCTCAGACTGACTCTGAAACACCGGCACTACCGCACAAAAGTCAAGGAAATAACCGATACGGTTGAATTAGAAACCGCCAAACAACTACTTTCGTTGATTTCCTAAAAAGAAACTTTTGAAGCGGAATAATTAATCCTGTCCTGCGACAAAATCGTCAAAAAGTCGTATCGCACCGTTTATGGGTTCTGCATTCCTCATTTGTTCAACAGGGCGAATTCGCCATCTAGTTGAAACTGAACATGACACAAAACACCCAATAATCCTTGATGGAAGGCATGCTCTGGTGAAATTGTTCGTAAGTGATATTCACTATCGCTATCAGCACCAGTTCTTAGACTACTTGCGAGCTGTAATTTACTTAGAGTTTGCAATCTTGAACCTTCGCTCTTTATTAAAGTCCATCGAAGTCCACTGCCTTAAATGTAGGAAGCGCAGAGCCAAAACTGTCACACCTATGATGGCAGAGCTTCCATTTGAAAGGCTTGGTTACCGCCAGCCTCCCTTCACAAACTGTGGTGTTGATTAGTTTGGACCTTTTACGTCTCAATCAGGAGGAGTTCTGAAAAACAACGGTGCTTATTTTTTACATGTTTGACAACAAGAGCTGTGTATTTTGAGATTGACTCATCCATGGACACGAGTTCGTGTGTAATGGTAATCGAAAGATTTATTGCCCGTCGCGGCACTCCATCAAACATTTGGTCCGATAACGGCACCAATTTTGTGGGAGCTGAGAAGGAACTCTTGCTTTGTATTCAGTCGTGGAACAATCAAGCACCCCCAGAGCTGGCGAGAAAGGGTATTAAGTGGAAATTTAACCCCCGGTAGCCCCGCATCACGGTGGTTCTTGGGAACGTCTTGTTCGGTGTTGTAAAAGGGTATTCTATGCAATAAAAGGAAGTAGAAAAGCTCACTACCGAAGTCTTTGAAACAACTTTCTGTCTCGTAGAACAATCACTGAACGCTCGACCTATAACATCAGTAAGTACAAGTCCGGATGGTTTTGAGGTAGTAACTCCTAGACACTTTTTGTTAGGCCCAAATGGCACTAGCTTCCCTTCTCTCTCTTTCCAGGAGCACTTCGATCGAAAGCAATATATCCGTGCGCAAAGCTACGCCAACGCATTTTGGAGTCACTGGCTGCGAGATTATGTGCCAGCGCTGAATAAACGCAGTAAGTGGCACTCCCATAGTGACATTATTTTAAAAACAGGGGGTTTAGTGTGGGTTGTTGATGAACGCAGCCCAAGGGGACACTACCCTTTGGCTCGTATAAAAACCCTTGATTACGGAAAAGACAATATAGCCCGATCCGCTGTAGTCACTACCCGCTCCGGGGAGCTAACTCGCACCCGTTTCGCTCCTTTGGGCGCGGAAGATGTTCGCGCTTAAACTCATGACGTCATTACAGCGCCAAAGTGAAAAAGCTAAAATTTGATTTTCTTAGACAAAAGGCCTTGAAACTACTGGTTTGTCCAATTAAGGTTAGTTTGCCATCAAAAATGTTTACAGATTTTTGAGATTGTTGAGAACGTTTTTGATATCATGTTAACCGGAAAATGCTTGCCTTATTTTTTTCAGATACTACTTATTTTCATATTATCTGTTTAAATTGCCGATAAATTACAGATGTCGAAGCACATTTTTTAGATCTTACAGGATACGAGAGTGCGCCACACAAATTTTTCCTAGAGAAGAACCAAACGGTGTCACTAAGGATTTTTGTGTCACTAAGGATATTTGTGTCACTAAGGATTTTTATACAATTCAAAACTTTTAAACTCAAATGTTTTGAAGCTTTTATATCTAACTGTACGAAACAATTAGATCATATGGAAAAAAAAACATGTGATACTCATTTTTCCCACAGAACTTTTGTTTATTTAGAGATCTGAATGATTCCAGCAATTGTTTTTTTTTTCGCTTTAGAAAAAGGATGCCATTTTGCTCCTATTTAAGATCTGTTTTTCACAACAATTTAATCAAATGTGGAAAAGGATTTTTTCTTTTTCTGACTCTGGTGATTAGTCATGATGGTGTATCTTTTGAAATATTGAAAGCCATTAAGTTAATTACGCTAAGTTTATTGATAATAATTCAGCACTGTTTCTTGGACAAATCAAATTAGTTTTTAAGGACAACTTGATTGGAAAATGTTAAATGATGTAAACAAAAAAAACAGTGCTGAATTGGTTTCAATAAACTGAGCTTAATTCAATGAGTTGAAAACAGAGTTAATAACGGTTAACAAAACTGCCATCCTGTTAATTTATTGGCTACAAATGGTACTTTTTAAAGAAAAAATTCACCGTTTTTTTGCAGTTTTAAACTGTTTGATAAACTGTTTGAAAGCTTAAATAATTTTGTAGTTTAAAAAACCCTTACAGCAGCATTTATTTGAGTTTGTGATAACTTTTTCAAATATAAAGTCACTGATTATATTATTTTTCATTTTCTTAATTTGACACAGATCAACCAGTTGGTTTCAGGCTGCAAAATTTTTTGTACAAAAAACTTCTCCTTTAAGCATATGCCAAAGTTACGCTTAAACTATGGCCATTTAGTGTAAGGTTCCTGCTATGAATCGTGGCTTCGAAAAATCATTCCTTACCGCAAAATTTTCTGATTAAAGAAAGATATACACCTACCCGGGATGACCGAAACTCCTTATCGTACAATTCCCATATATGAGAAATTTCTTGTCATACAATTCCGTACAATGCCATACGTACAGAACATTGAATGAAATCTCTATGATATACATTTTTCCATAAATGAAAATTGTATGATAGATGTTTTTCCATAAAGCAAAAAGTTTGATTTTTTTTTTCTGAATTTATTTCTGAAAAATTTTACGTTGTGTTTGCAGCCGAACACAAGTGACAAAGACCTTGGTTACTCAAAGCACCAAAGGTTGGACGGTCTTTGCATTTATAATGCATAGAAAACGACCTGAGTTCGGCTGTCTTTCACAATTGATATAGCAAAAGCAACAAACTTTTAGTTTTTGGCAAAATTTTTAAATGGTGATTATTTTAAATTTTTGAATTTTCAAATTATCAGACATTGATCAAGGCATACATTAACACCCCATTCAAAAGAAATAGGAATTTTCAGCGTTTTTGAAAAAAAAAATTAAGTGAAAAGAAAATAAAAGCCAATTTTATCGTATCCAGGACTACGTTATGCACACAAAATATTAACTTTTGCATGCAAAAAATTTTTTTTCGAAAAATGTTTGTTTGCGTACGAAATTCGATTTGCGGTTGAAAAAAAAACAAAAATTTTTTTGGGCCAAATTTTCAAAATTACATGTCGCCATCAAAAAAATGCCAGTCATACAATTTCCATGTATGGGAATTGTATGATAAGCATTTTTTTCAAAAAACGAAAACCTCAGTTTTTTATCACCAGACTGTTTTTATTAGAATCAAACAGCCACAGAAATAAGTTTATACCAGTTTTCAACCATTTTTAGAAATTGTATGAAAATTGTATGACAAGCATTTTTCCTCGCACTTGATGTATGGAGTTGTATGATAAGCATTTTCGGTGTATGGAGGTCAACCCGGGTAGTCTGTGTCAATTAAGCGGAATTAATTATGCCACTTGGACATTTCAGCTGGAGTTTTCGCTACATTGCGGTCATAGCTCAAATAGGCAAAAACATTGATTATGATTGCAAAGGTGGTCGATATTTCCGCTAAGTTGCACTCAAAATTCAGCAGAAAGAAAGATCACCGTTTGAACCTCGACTGTTAAAATCGCAATTTTCCTTAGTGACTAGAAAATTGTTACTCAAACATTTTAGCAGTTGAAGCTCTTGTGTTGTTTATTTTTAGCAAAAAGTAAGCAAAAAAGATAACTGTTTGTAACTTGTTAGTAACACCAAAAATTTTTCTTCATTGGCTAAAAAGTTTTAGCTCAAAACGCTTAGTAGCTGAAAAAAGTGTTTTTCCGCAGAGTAAATTTTTTCTTATCATATGGAAGCATAAAAAAAGTTTGAATGAGCTTTTTTTGATTCTGTTGTATGACAAACTGAGTTTGGTCTTACCACAAATAATCACTGGACTGGTTTGAGTGATATATCATAATAAAGCCATTTCAGTCGTGATTTGAACCACATTGAACAGTTTTCTAAATTTATTCAAGTTTTGAAGTTTCTGATTTGTTTTTGTCTTGATTCCAGCAATTAAAGCAAGCAAACAGGCTTACAGCAGCTAAACTATGCCTAAATTAAGATCTTAAAACTCAGTTTTAAGCATTAAAAACTAGTTTTTCGAGTTTTTTCCTGCATGATTTTGGGAACAACAAACTTCAAAAATTCAAAAATTTCTGTATTTTTTTTTTCGAATTTTTCTATCCTTTATCTGCAAAAAATTTAATTCAATGTGCTGAAAAAACCATAACTGTCTAATATGTCTGAATATTTATTTTTACGTCTGTTCCTCTTATCACACCAATCAGAAAAAAAACTACATGAAATTGGAAAAAAAAAATTCTTGGCCATAGTGTTTTAAAGACTATGGTCAGAACATTCTATACTATTTGCACAGAAACCGGCTACTTGTTTTGTAGTTATTTGGTTTTGGCAGTCGTTGGCAAAATTATTATAAAACATTAATAACTGTTTGGCGTACAAAATATGAAATTGTTGGTTATTAGGTGCAATTGCCTCTTTTTGTGTAATAACCTAGCAAATTCTAATTATGGCTTCTCTGTCAAACTTTAAAGGTATCTTTAACAGTCTCTACTTCACCTTCAGAAAATTTCTAGTGAACCTATTTGCGTGATATAATTGCCAAGAAGGATCCTCATTATCTTTAATTTTTTTCGAAATATATTTGGAAACGACACCACAACCAGTTGCTATGAAAAAGATTCCTAGAAATTTTCA